CCGTAGGATATCGTCTTCGCGTGAGAAATCTCGCGCGGGAAAAGCAGTGTGTGCGTGCGTCACAAAGGTGAACTAGATGGTAGCGAAACGGGACAGCGATAATTAGTCATGTTAGTCGAGTGACAGTGTGCTCCGGTTGCCAAGCCAATAAGAAGTCGAATCGTGCTCGTTTCGCGTGATATATCGTCGTCCAGGTGGGTGATGTCGCGGACTCGTCGCGATCCTTTTGGCACGTTTCACCGACAACCTCCGGACGCGGACAACGCGATGAATACGTTCCTCGTAACTACCTCGTTCCATGCGTTTAAGACTACCAGCCACGCTGAAATATATAAGCCTCTCGCCCGAGATCTATTGAGAGTTGAAATAGCTCGACACTTCAAGACCCACCTTCAAGATTGATTTTAATACGCTCACGTTTGCTTCATTCACTTACCTCGTTTCGACGTTTATGATTCTTTTATTTTGATGTTTAGAGCAATTTTTATCTTGTGATATGGATGTGAAATGGACTGAAAATTTTCGATTGGGGATATTGGTATGAGGGATGATGGAAAATGTACTCGGAAGTTCTTTGTTTCTGGGGGTATAGGGATGTGGAAATATGAGTATCAGAATGTGAGAATTTGGAAATATGTGGATTAGGATATGTGTGGAGTTGGACATATGTGAATTGGATCATGTGAAGATTTTGACATGTGTGAATTAAGGTATGTGAGGATTTTGGCATATGTGAATTAGATCATGAGAGGATTTTGGCATATGTGAATTAGGGTATGTGAGGATTTTGACATGTGTGAATTAGGGTATGTGAGGATTTGGACATATGTGAATTAGAGAACGTATGAATTTGACAGTATATAGATTTGAAAACGTGGAGATTTGGGAATGTTTAAATCTGGGAACGTGGAAATTTAAGAACATGTGAATTTGAGAATGTGAGAATTTGGACATATGTGGATTAGGATATGTGTGATTTTGGACATATGTGAATTGGATTATGTGTGGATTTGGACATATGTGAATTAGATCATGTGAGGATTTGAAAACATGTGTATTAGAGAACGTGTGAATTTGACAACACGTAGATTTGAAAACATGGAGATTTAATATTTAAATCTGGGAACGTGAAAATTTAAGACCACATGAATTTGAGAATGTATAAACTTGTCAACATATAGCATCTAAATTTTTGAACAAGTACGACTATAAATTTCAGACTTCCTAGTTTCCCAAATTGAGAGACAAATAGCGACCGTCTCCCCGATGTTTATCTAAAGAAAGTCCATGTTGCACACAAAGATTTATCGTGAAATGAATTGGTATTACCGTCCAGCGCCAGTTAGCTCGTTGGCCGTTCAAACAGCGATAAAATCAATATCTTGCGAAAGATCACGAATTTTTCAAGACCTTCGAGAAACTCTCGAACATTTCTAAATTACACAGCTCGGACGTAGGTACACGTACTGGAAGTGATTACTAGCCCATCATCATTGGTCACGGAACAAGGTGCGCAACACACACGAAACCCAATCGACCAGTTTCTCTTTCGTGTTGTTAATACTCGACAATCGGCTCCGAACCAAACAACGCTCGTCAACTTTGTTTACCGATGACATCTGTTCGCTCTCGTAATTGCGTACCTGCTATTCATACGCAACGAGGTTACGTTTCGAATAAGGACTCCGATCAAGGACGCTCGTATCTATGCACGACGGAGAGTGTACGTTTATGCAAATATCGAATAAAAAAGGAACGAACCGCACACACACATGCTCGTGTCGTGAAACCACCAACAACGATTCTTTCACGGTTGCTGGATTGATTGCCGCTGCTACGCTTGTTACGTTCTTTGCCATCTTGCGCGTTGGGATTAATCACCGTATACAAATTAGCCTTGTTAGCATTGACTCGTTCGGATAATTTTGGTACACCGTGATTGGGTACTTGTTTAACAACCATCTGGCGACAGTTGCGATCTTTTATGCATTATTTATGAGCAACTTTGTTTTGCGACTTTTATTTCCGACGCGTTATAAATTGCGTACTCTTCAATTTTCTTGGGGAATTTTTCGACAAACTTGTTTATACTAACAGGGAAATTACGTGGTCTGATTAACAAATTTTTTTGGTATCTCTAACATTTGCAGAGGATGTGGACGTATTGGGTGATGTTACTGATATTGGATAGTGGCGATATAACGCGAGTGAAATGCGTTACCATGCATTAACACACTGAGTATATGTAGAATAGCAAAATACAAAATTATTGTTTAAATTTTACTGTAATAATGTTCTGACATATCGAGTTGACATTGAGGAATAGTGGCGATATAACGAGAGGATGTCACATTACCATATATTAATATACTAAGTATATATAGAATAGCAAAATACAAAATTATCATTTAAATTTTACTGTAAGAACAATGCTCTGACATCATCGTGAATGACATATCGAGTTGACATTGAGGAATAGTGGCGATATAACGAGAGGCTGTCACATTACCATATATTAATATACTAAATATATATAGCACAGCCAAATACAAAATTATCATTTAAATTTTACTGTAATAACAATGTTCTGACATCATCGTGAATGACATATCGAGTTGACATTGAGAAATAGTGGCGATATAACGAGAGGATGTCACATTACAATATATTAATATACTAAATATATATAGTACAGCAAAATTCAAAATTATCGTTTAAATTTTACTGTAATAAAAATGCTCTGATATCATCAACCACTAAAACAATAAATAAGTAGCAAAATGTAAGATCACTTAACTCCCGGTATTCAGTAATGCAAACATCTTCAGAAACAATAATAAAGTCACACAATTAAGACAACATTGTAAATAATGGCATTAGTCATAAATCATGAAAGGCCATTAATCTATTAATTCTACTGAGTCATCGGATACTCAATTTCATTTTCAGCGAGCAAGTCTTCATAGATAAGTAAAATTGCGATAGCATCGACATTACACGCTTATTGCGCACGAAATTGTTACATACTTATCCACGTTCGCAACATCGAGCGAACATTGATTTTACGCAACGCTTGCTGTACGAACATTTATCCGACACGAAATTCTGTTCATTTTCTAGTTAGCTATCGTCATTTTTTATGGGGGAAATTGTTCAGGTGATTGGCATATGTTTGAAACGGAGCGGACGATCGAAATGGAGCATTATCGACACAAAGACATATTCTTGTTAAATTACTGTCGACTTTTTTTTTAATATTTCAGAATTTATGTGGGGTATATAAATTTCTGAGTAAGGTGGTACTTAATTCATTATTCTTTTCATATATTTTTTTCATATTCCTTCATATACTTTTATTAGTTTTATGTATTTTATATACTTTTATCGTGCATTATGTGTTATACTACATATCTCATCATTATGTTTGAGCATGTGTTACAACGATTATACTACAAAATAATGAAATAAACATTCAGTAATACTTGCAGTACTTCCATAAATACTTGAACCAATACTTGTTACATCTAAAATACCCAATACAATTTCAAACTAAATTTACCCCATTAATTACCACAACAACTTCAGATCAAACGTTTAACCAACTATCGAAAATTTAGTACATGAAAGCTAAACGATATAATACCAAATGTTGGCGCGTTTATACGCGACACAGAGTTTCATAAGCGTCGAGGCTTGTCAGACAGTAAGTTTAACCTGAATCGTTTCAACATTGCCCATAATACCCCTTGTGTCCCAGGCGAAGTATATTATTTACGTACAGCGTGATGCTCCGATAACCAGCCCGTCATAAAGCCAACTTCAAGCGTATTCGATTCACACGTACGATCGATGCACGCCTATATATATTCGCGAAAGTATCTCGAAAGGGTATCAATTATGTTCCGCGGGGAAACAATGGCGCATAAACTGGCATCGCTACACTACCCATCGCTACCATCATGACCGTAACCGTCCATCGCGACAGGCAAATATATTTCCAAAAAAATAAAAAGACGTACGCGCGTACAGGTTTGTTTGCCTGGCTGGGTTCATAAAATTGCTCGCATGATTTTGTGAAACATTATTCCATTCAACGCGTTAGGGACTTTTTATTTGCGATTGTACTTGAGGAACTGGAGACTGGAATTTTTGGAACTGTGTGACTTTGTAGATGTAGTACTTTGACTTAGGGATTTAGGAAATGTAACACGTCGTGATTTTGTAAATTTGAAACTTATAGTGAGGAACTTTGAAAATGTGTGATGGAATTTTGTGACCTTCAGACTCGGGAGCTGGAGATGAACTTGGAGACCTTTTTGAACTCTTGAAACTTTCGAACTTGGATACTTCTACTTTTGAAGCAAATAGATATCTTGAAATTTCACAGTTTCGAAAGTTCAGAACTTCGAAACATGGTCGATCGCCGTTAACAAAAATGCAAACTAATGAACCAGAGTCTTCAAACTTTTTGGATAAAAAATATGAAATATCTCGCGGGAATGAGGGAAAAGAGTGCAATGCGGGGGCAGTAAGAGTAGGCGGAAGAAGGTTGGGTGAAAGAGATTCGGTAGGCATCGGCAAAATAGAAGGGGAATTGGAAGCAAGGTCTGTCGTTTGGCATTCAGAATGCAGAAGGACCGAAAGAGAACGTGGGGTGGTTGGCTCGGTTGCCTGGAGAGTTTGCGTGCATGTGTTTCTCGTTGGTCCCTATGCACGAGTCCGGTGCGGCGCGGCGATTCGAGAGAAGAAACAGGGAGACACAGCGAAGCGTGGAGGATAAAAAGAGACGGAAGCGAGAGGCCACAAAATATATGCTGCACGCTCGTGGATGCTCGTTTGCAGCGTTCGTGGAGGGACGGAGATAATCGCGAGTGTAGCGAGCGGGCCTGCGGATAAAGCGAAACGGAAGAAAGGAGAACGCGAAACGGTTCGGCAAGGAGGCTGGTCAATGGTAGGCCGGCTATCGGAACACCCTTCTCGAAAACAAAGCCGGATCTCACCTTGATTTATCGCAGAGTGGTGCGCGCCGCGGTGCTGTGTGCTCTTGTTCGGGTATACAGCCGCCGCCGGGGTAAACTCCCCGGCGAAAATTAATCCATTATCGGCCGAACGAAAACGAAAACGAAATAACAAACAGCAACGTAGCGCTGGAGAAAAGCAGACCACCGTACAGATTCTCGGCTCCTCTTCCGGTCTCTGCTTTTTCTCTCCCCGAGCATATATATATACGCGTACGGCTTTTTCTCTTTCTCGCCGGGTTTCGTCGAATCGTGTATACACTAAAGAGGCCCGGCCACTAAATCAGCTCCGTAAAACGTATGCACGAGTAACGTGTCACGGGAAACAGTCGAATGCTTGCACACGGCAGCGGATCACACAACGCGTTTCCCCTTCCGTCCACGCACAGCCACACCGGACACGTTTCTCCAAATATTTTCCTTGGTGCGCACGCTCCCGCTAGCGACGCGTCCGACGACACGACGCGACGTTCGACGGTGTCGATACACGTGCGAGTCGCCAGATCGAGACACGAACCACCCCTAACGACGACCGAGAACGCACTGACGTGAATGCACCGAAGGAACACGAAAGCGGAGATCCGATCGAGTCGAACGGCGGAGTGGGGGAAGCCCTTCGGCCGACTTCGGAACGCTTCGCCGCGCATGCTCCCTCTCTCCTCCCGCAACCAGTGGATCTCACACAAACGCACGGCTCTCTCAACCTTCGTGTAACTCGATGGAGTCACTTTCTATGTGTACTTTCGACTCGTTCTCTCTTTCTTTATCCCTCTTACCTGCTACCACTGCCAGCCTCGTACATGCACACCTGTTTATGCGCGCGCGAGTGCACGCGACGCGTACCGCCTTACCTTTTCGCGGCAGACTCCACACGCGCGATGACGTCACGCTGGGCGCCGTGGCGTGGATAACGAGATGGCCCGAGTCTTCCTCGGGACCCTCGATCGCTAATTATCGTCCTAGAGGTTTCGCCTCGTTCCGTGGCTGCTTTGCTTGTTCCTTTTTTATTTCTCTCTTTTTAACCCGGCAGACGGAGAAATCGTGTTGGCCCGAGAAGGCACCCGGCAGTCACCCCTGCCTCGCCAACGAGGATTTTCGTTCCCCGGTGGCATTAATGATGTCTCGTGTAGGTACAGTCACGACCGGTTCCGCGGGACCTACCTCCTATCAAGATCGAGTATCTACTAGCGACTTCGAGGACACGCGATGGACCCCGACGAGAAACGAACAATTCCCGTCTTAGGTTTCACGCCGTGTGTAAAACACGTACCCTGGTCCACGATGCATTCGAGCACCATCGTGTCGTGTAGGGATGCATTCTTTTTGGCCAAGCCGAAGATCGATCGTTTTAGGGGAGAGGGATCGTAAGATAAAAGGAGGAAGTTTTTTTCACTTTACAATTCTTAGATTCTTTCGCCCCTAAATTTTTCGGTTGGCTAGTTTTAAATTTTGCAGATCTACTTTGGTCATTTAGAAATTTACTTCAAACATTCAGAAATTAAATACTTCAAAAAATTTTTTAATCATAATTTAATGCTTTTGTTTTCTGTAATTCAGTCACTTGAAAAATTCGTTAGAAAATTTGAGAATGTAGAGGTCTTGAATTTTAAACGTGACCCATCGGTCACGAAGCGGGGGTTGCGACTATCGTGCACGAGTAACGTGTCACGGGAAACAGTCGAATGCTTGCACACGGCAGCGGATCACACAACGCGTTTCCCCTTCCGTCCACGCACAGCCACACCGGACACGTTTCTCCAAATATTTTCCTTGGTGCGCACGCTCCCGCTAGCGACGCGTCCGACGACACGACGCGACGTTCGACGGTGTCGATACACGTGCGAGTCGCCAGATCGAGACACGAACCACCCCTAACGACGACCGAGAACGCACTGACGTGAATGCACCGAAGGAACACGAAAGCGGAGATCCGATCGAGTCGAACGGCGGAGTGGGGGAAGCCCTTCGGCCGACTTCGGAACGCTTCGCCGCGCATGCTCCCTCTCTCCTCCCGCAACCAGTGGATCTCACACAAACGCACGGCTCTCTCAACCTTCGTGTAACTCGATGGAGTCACTTTCTATGTGTACTTTCGACTCGTTCTCTCTTTCTTTATCCCTCTTACCTGCTACCACTGCCAGCCTCGTACATGCACACCTGTTTATGCGCGCGCGAGTGCACGCGACGCGTACCGCCTTACCTTTTCGCGGCAGACTCCACACGCGCGATGACGTCACGCTGGGCGCCGTGGCGTGGATAACGAGATGGCCCGAGTCTTCCTCGGGACCCTCGATCGCTAATTATCGTCCTAGAGGTTTCGCCTCGTTCCGTGGCTGCTTTGCTTGTTCCTTTTTTATTTCTCTCTTTTTAACCCGGCAGACGGAGAAATCGTGTTGGCCCGAGAAGGCACCCGGCAGTCACCCCTGCCTCGCCAACGAGGATTTTCGTTCCCCGGTGGCATTAATGATGTCTCGTGTAGGTACAGTCACGACCGGTTCCGCGGGACCTACCTCCTATCAAGATCGAGTATCTACTAGCGACTTCGAGGACACGCGATGGACCCCGACGAGAAACGAACAATTCCCGTCTTAGGTTTCACGCCGTGTGTAAAACACGTACCCTGGTCCACGATGCATTCGAGCACCATCGTGTCGTGTAGGGATGCATTCTTTTTGGCCAAGCCGAAGATCGATCGTTTTAGGGGAGAGGGATCGTAAGATAAAAGGAGGAAGTTTTTTTCACTTTACAATTCTTAGATTCTTTCGCCCCTAAATTTTTCGGTTGGCTAGTTTTAAATTTTGCAGATCTACTTTGGTCATTTAGAAATTTACTTCAAACATTCAGAAATTAAATACTTCAAAAAATTTTTTAATCATAATTTAATGCTTTTGTTTTCTGTAATTCAGTCACTTGAAAAATTCGTTAGAAAATTTGAGAATGTAGAGGTCTTGAATTTTAAACGTGACCCATCGGTCACGAAGCGGGGTTTGCGACTATCGTGGATTATGGTGTCCCCGGGTCGTCTCGGCGTTCGGGGACGAATTCCGTGAGCGTCGAGCCGCGCAAAAATGAGCGTCGCGTCCGACGTATAAATAACGAAACACCCCCTTGTAGGAGGCTCGTGGAGCCTTGTGCAATAAATAACGTCCAAGCGTAGCACACCTGCAGCGACAAGGCGTGTCCGATGGACGATGAAGTTTAACGTCCTTCCCTCGTTTATTTCTCTGCCCAAAGCTATTGCGAGACGCGTCACCAATAAAATGCTAATCACCCTTGCTCGTTACGTCTCGCGTGCTCTTTATTCCCGCAGTTTTTTAGCGCGACTCTATGGAACGAGCTATGAACGACGTCGGACATTCGTTCACCGGTCATAATGCTAGGGGATATTGCAGTTTCGTGACAGATACATCCGGTACTTTCACTTGTTTCGCTAGCTGGATAAATTATCCACGAACAGCGATGATAGCTTCAACGTGCACCGGGACATTGATGACATACCTTCTCATGTGCATTTGTCAAAAATTTTCTATTATTTATGATTGATATTTGTGAGGTTAATTATACGGGGGTTAAGTACCTAGCAACTTTTGAAGTCGTAGGAAATTAATTATTGTGAAAATTTATTGAGACAAGTTTAGAAATCGACATAGAGTTTTGTGAGAGTGGATTTTTATTTTAATGTGTTCATTGCTGTATGGAGATATTAAAGAGATTTTGATATTATATGCTTTGGACCGTATTGCATAGCTGAAGGGTAGATCCACTTTATGTATAGTTATCGCTTGTCAGAAGCAACACAGAAGAAAAACGATCAGAAGGAAATCCGTCTTCAAGATGGTTCTTAGTCTAAATTACAATTCCGTTTTATTACACGCAATCCACTCCCGCGATAGATTTCTCTGAAACGTTTATCCATTCCCTCATCGTGCTCTTTCTGCAATAAAAGTGAATGCTAAAGCAGAGGACCACCTACGAGCACCCTTTTCTCCATCGACTCCCCACCTAATCTCGAACTCTATAACCGGCCGTCACAAGACGAACTAATAAGATAAAAAGCGCAATTACGATTGATTAAAACGAGAAGCGCATTCCTCGCTTAATAATAGATTATCGTAACGAGGGAACTGGTTGCAGTAATCACACTGTCTGAAGTGGAAAGTAGACGCGTTTCTTCGAACTCGTCTTGTGACGCACATATCGTTTCGCAAAAAATTAACAATTCCTTTAGATACGTCGCGGAAAAATCCCATTCGACGAGCAGACACGTAGCGAGTATATGCGGTTCCCCTCTCGGGAACACAGTATCCACGGCGTCTCGCAGCGCCGCGAGGGAACACGACAGCCCCAGGGACACGGACACTTTCTCCCTGGTGCTCCCGGAATAGCCGGGAAAAACGGAGGGTTGGCTCTTTTCTACCGGGAGAGCCAGCCAGGCAGCGGTGCATAGGAATGACGAACGACGACGACGGAGGATTGGTTCTGATTACGATCTCGCGTCACCCCAACGGCTAAGGAGCGCGACAATGACGATGACTGTAATTCCGCATACGAGCAAGGTGGTCCATTATGATCCTTCAGATGGAACGATGCAAGGTGCCGTGGCAAGGGACCGTGGAATCCTTGGGGATGTTCTTATTATCCTTCAAGCAGGATTTTTGGAAGGGGCAAACATCTTTGGGGTGCCTTTATTCTGAGTAAACGCGACACAATGAGATTATGCTATTTGGGAACGTAAAAGTTTTAAAGATCCACATCTGTTTTTATATTAAACTTCTAAATTAGCCCGCTTAAACTTACTAAATTCTGTACCGTAACAGACCACGTCAAAAGGTTAATTCGTGCCTTGTCTAGATACGATCGTGCTTATTAAATCCACGAAGCCTCAACGATTCGAATTGAAAGTTTCGAAAAGTATACGAGTCGATTGATCGGCAGCGATATTAATTAACGGGCTTGGAGCGGTAAAGATTCCCTTCGACAATGGCCGCAAGTTTGCGTCTGAAAGTCGATCCGGGCGAAGAATTCCGCGATTGTTCCGCAGGCAACAATGCCGTTCAGAATCCACCGTCGAACTTAAATTTTAAGAGTCACTGGCACGAACGGACTTGCCGACCGACCTCCTTGCTAAAAAGCGTTTTTCCGTACGCTCGAGCGAGCCGCGGCTCGCCGGAGGAACCCTTACTTTCCGCGCGACGAATAATTCAAGAGAACAGAGAGGGAGAGGAGCGGGGTAAGGAAACTTCTCGGCCAACTTTCCACCGTTTTTCATCGATCTTTCAACGGCACCGATCGCCGTCTACCTTTTCCACGACGAATTTATTGTGGCTGCCGCGGATTCAATTTCGTTCTTTTTCATCCGAGCGGCAAGGGTGCACCTGACCGGGACGAGGGTGGGCGTCAAAGCGAACTTTCCATAATAACGCCTTCGACGCCGATACTTCTCGTCGCACAGAAACCTAAGAACTTGCGCAAACGGACGGTTTTCGCGAGGGAACTCGCGCCGAGACAAAAGGGTGCCAACGAAACTTTGCACCACATCGGCTTTTTGTTCC